GTGCTGTTGTTAATCTCCTCGATGGCAAAGATCATAGCACGAGAGTATCGAAGCTCACCGGCATCAACACTGCAACAAACATGCCAGAAAATGGACCCAAAAAGCACATTTCATATTTTATCATAAAATGCAAAGCGAAATCTGCAACTGGGGAAATAAGCTCATTATTCTGAAATTAATCTTTGGATGAAAACAAAGATTCATTAACACTCCAGATGTCAGGCAAATTACATACAAAACATTTCAAATTAATGCCATGCTTTGTGCAGCAATATAAGAAAATGTATAGAATCTAATTAAAATAAAGAATAACATAAAGCAACACAAAAACTTTACAGTAAACTGCTTTTTTCTTCATGCAGCTCGTTCGTCCTTTATCCATCCCTTCCTCATCTCACTAACCTCCCTGAGCACTGAGGGGGTTCAGGCTTGCTGGTGTAGTCATAAATCATTGTATGCATGTTGTTGTGGATGGAAAAAACTCCCCCAACAACATAATCTCCATTCTCTGAGAATGCCGCTGTACGAGCAGTACCCTGAAGATGGCATTTCACAGTTGTAGTGTTGCTGCTGATTCCTCCTATCCGAGCTTGGGTAATTATAGTCCTCTGTGTCAAGCCAGTCAGTGAGTAGTCCTTGGTAACAACTGAGTTCACTTCAAACAAACTGAGAGCCAATCGCAGGCCGAGTAAAAAAACTTGGATCTCCATCCTTGAAGTGTTTGCATGTGGGTTGGGAGAATCTCTTCTTCTGGTTTATATACATACACTGTACTCTATGGAAAGCACCACCTCTTTTTTCCTTTGTGTCTACTGTATTTTCCAGTTAATTCCTTTAAAAGTACTTGATGTGCTTGTTTCAATGTACAATTATTTTATTTTTTTAAATTGAAGTGAATGTTTCCCTTGCAATTTCAGATAGAAAAGGAAAAAAACTTGGTTGATAAGAATACTATCATTAAGCTTGCATGTGTTTTTGTTAAAGAGCAGCTCTTTTCTTGATTCTAATTCTGTATGAAAGTTCACCAGGCGAGACTCACATTACATCATTTTTAGAAGCAAAGATTGAAGTGGTTGAATTCATTTGTCAGACTGATTCTAATTTATTTCAATAATATGAAACCAATCATAGTATGCATGTGAATAATAGTGGAAGTGGGTAGGGTCATTTTACTGCTAAGACACATCATCATTAGTCTTAGACTGAGGTCAGGGTGACACCTGAAAGAGACTAGATTTTGGGAATGTATGCACTCTGTGTTATCAGAAAGTACAAGAGACTCTCACAAGCTGACTTTAAGAATTCCCTTTATCCTGCTCTACAAGATACTACCGTAATATTTCTGAAACAAATACTCCCTGGATTGTGGAAGCCGAATCTTATCGCTAGATATATGTCTCCACAACAGTGTAAGACAGGGGTAGGCAACTCCAGGCCTCCAGAGCCACCATCCTGCAGGGTTTAGAGGTTTCCCTGCTTCTACACACCTGATTCACATCAACACAACAGCAATCCTGTTCAGATCTAAAGCACCTTTAGAAGAAATCAGTTTTTATCTGAATCAGGTGAGTAGAAGCATGGAGACCTCTAAAGAAAGCAGCTCTGGAGGCCTGGAGTTACCTACCCCTGGTTTGAGACATCATTTTTTATAGGAAAAACCTAACCATAATCATTTTTTTTTTATTGATTCTGAGTTGGATTTCATACCCTTTCCACGGATTGGCTTGATCCAGTCAAACATTTCAGTAAGGTCTTGGGTTATTTTTAGTCTTGATTTCATGGCACATGCAGGCTCATATAAGTTTTAAATATGGCACTTCTTTCCACCCCTACCTCTCTGACCGGAGACCGATGTCTTTTGTGGAAGCATAACGACATATTTTCCTTTTGGCACTGCAGTCATTTCTCGGATTCCATTAACAGTTTATGTTGATGCAGGTTATGAACTGATTGTACAACTTTTGGAAGATTTGTCGAGAAAAATTATTGTTCTTAAAATATATGAAGGTGAATGAACCACTCTATTTGTTTATATTAATGTTTATTTTGTTAAATTTTATCCATATATTGTATCAATGTTGTTTGAAATGTCAGAGACCATGAAACAACATAATATGATAAAACAGAGGGAGGACATGCCGGTTTGGTAAGGACTAATGGGACCACTGATGAGAACTGCACTGAGAATTAAAACTGAGGCTTTTTGGGCATGGTTGTTGGTTTAACCTGAAGCAGCAGACAGATTACTGCAGAAATGAGAGTTTGTGTATTTAAGTAAAATTATGTTCTGATGAACTGACAACCCTTTGATTCAGCTGAAGGGGGACAGTTCTACTAGATTTATGGAGTTTTAAGTCTAAACTAGAAAATCTCTGAAGGAATTTTGAGGGGGGCCACCTACTGCCCGTCCAGGAACCTGGGGCAGGTCGGCCAATCGATATTTGGGCTCTCTGTAATGTGGGCTCGCGCCTATGAGAGGGCCTGAGGGAGAGACGCTGACCCAGGGCCCGCTGACCAAATGTAATTGGTTTGAGAAGGTCGCGGGTCACATTGGCTGAAAGATGAGAAAAAGACCTACGCAACGAGGTCTGACATGGCTGGGTCCGGCCCCGGTCCGGTTCCGACCCGGTTGGGTCCGACCCCCAGAACCAGAACCAGAACCGGGCTCTGACTAAAGCCCTCTAAGCGGGCTTCGCCCGCCAGGTAACAAAAATAATGTATTTCTTAAAAAATCACTGAGAGCGGGCTTCGCCCGCCTTGTGCCAGAATCACTGTATTAGTTAAATCTTTCTAAGCTGGCTTCACCCGCCCAGAACCAGAAGCACAGCTCACAGAGCTCTGCAGAGACCCACCGCGCTGCGGCTCTGCCACGGCGACGGCAGCCAGGCCCAAGTCTCAACTGACACACCTGTGACTCATCAGTGAGCCGCAGCTCTGACACAGACAACTGACGGATTGGATCAAAAGTATCCTCCAAAATACCGCTGTTCAAAAGTATTTCACAAAACTGGAAAATTATTGGTCCGTGAGCGCCTACAGAGTTTAAGGTCGAAGCCAGTGTATTTTATGTTCGGCTGCTCCCAGCGGTTATTTTTTTATGGCAATTTCAAAATGAGGGCCGTTTTGGCTCTGGTGAAAAAAAATTTCTCCTTTCTTCCATTAAAATCCTATTGGAGAGGGTCGTGAAAGTCCGGACTCTGGGCCCGATTGCCGGAAAACCGTAAGGCCGAGGTCAAAAGCGGGCACATCGTCCGAAAGAGGACGCCCGCGGCTACGTTTTGTGGCATTTTTGGCGCCACGATTTGGTCACCACAGGCGTAGTTTGACTTTTTTTTTGGTGAACGTTCCCACAGGGCTCTCATAGGCCTTAACGAGCTGAGCTAGAGTGCGGGCCAGGATCTCTGATTTTCTGAATTTCACTAAAACGTCAACAGCGATTGCGGACAAACGATCCGAGATCTGGCCTCGTGGCTCCGATATGGCGGAGGCCCGTCGTTCGTGACCAGTTCAATGTTCGAACGAGGTCTCTCGGACGTCGTGGGGTTTTTTTGGGCCCGTTTGTCGGCGGCCCCCATGCATTCCTATGGGAAAACGCTCGCCACTTTTTCGCCGTTTACTCGGAAACGCCCGTTCTTTTGAGAAAGTTTTGAACAAGCACGCATGGCCAGGGGGGTCCGGACGCGCGTGCCGACTTTGGGCCCGATCCGTCGAGGAGATGCGGTCCGCGGAAAACGGGAGAACGATAATAACAAGGAGTGGAATAAGTATTTCGGAGAGTAATAGGTGGGCCCAGCGGCCCCCCTAATTATTAAAATGTGTTTTATATGGAGAGACAGACAAATGACTTTCCAGCTAAAGAAATGAAAAGCAATTTGAAATGCAAAAAGATGGAAATATGGTCTGAGTTTTTATGCTTTGGATCTGGAATGATTGTAAGTGTTGTTTGACATTTTCGAAGAACTAAATGTTGTTTTTTCTATTCACACTAATATATAAC